TTTATCTATGATGATGTTATAAGTGAAACATCAGGTTAATCACAAGTTAACCAGATAATGAAAAATTGGATCTTAAATTAAATTAGAGAATAAAAAAATAAACAATCCTATTCTTTATGCAAAAAACAGTCTTCAGCAACGCTGTTATATCACGTAATACCTCTGACGTAATATATCAGCGTTAGTAAAGAGACGAATTATTTCTCTGAAACCAGTATTTAGTTCGAATCAAAATACGAAGTATTTACTTGTTTGACTATTATAATATTTCTTTTCATTTTTTAATGTAAAATAACATGTAATGATGTGCATTATTCCGCGTATAGAATTGGAATATATACATATATATATATATATACAAGCTAGTGAATGCGTCAGTGTTGAGGTATAAATTATTTATTATTTGGAGTTAGTTAAATATTAATTACACATACTGCACGTAATGGAAAATATTATTTTATTGATTAATTATACATTATAAAAAAAAGGGAAAGCTTTTATCTTTAATTCTGGCATTAAATAATTAGATAAATTATCACGCTCTAATAATATGATTATATTAAAAATTAATGATAAGGTAAAATGATGATAAAAAGAAACGAGTACGTTTTTTAAATGCAATCTTTCTTAGGCAATTCTGTATCTTTAAACGTGCAATCTTTCTTAGGCAATTCTGTATCTTTAAATAATTCTATATATAAAGAGATGTGTACTAGAAAACAGAGTAAATCAATTAACTTCTCCGCTAACTATAATTAATGTTTGCAAAAACAGCTTTTCGGATTTGTTAACTTTCGCAAAAATGGCAAGCATTTATGATCAGACAGCTCATAAACTCCAGAGACTGGAAGATGAAGTGTCTAGAGTGGGACGAAGATCAAAACAAGGTCCGATCGGTCTGTGTTTACGAGATTAAAGAGCGACACGTGCAAGGAAAAAGAGAAGTTGATGGCTAACGGTAGATGCACTATTACGAATGACGACAACGGCCTTCCGCTTTCTCAGGCACTCCCATGTAAGGAAAGCCACGTGCACTCGTTATAAACAGTTACATTCACGGCTCGCCGATATGAACAGCTTATATATATAGTTGAATCTTATACTGAATTTCGCCAAAATTGTTACCACGAATAGCATGTAAATGACAGGTGTTTCGACAGCTCTTCGATATTTACAATGATTGCAACTCATCTCTTTAGAAATGAAATAGTACAAGGATGCTCAAAATGCGTCATGTTATAGTCAAATATGATTACGATTTATGATTTCATGATTATCGCTATACGTAGAATTATTTTATTCTATTAGCAGACAACGTCAGTTCAAATGCCGCTGTATATATTTCTTCTTATCTAATATGATACTTGTTTAATAATATGGGACTTTAAAGGATTTTAAAGTTTTTTATTGTGAATTTTGATAAATAAATTTATATCTATAAAAAAGTAAATTAATCCAATTCCAGTGATAGTAAAAAACGTATTAAAATTTCACAAATATATAGAAATTTTTTTAAGTTTTTTTATACAATCCGGGACAATATAAAAATCTGCAGTGAAATTCGAAGAGTCAGATTGCTGATGAAAGATGAAAATTTCTGTCGACGATTAATAATTCTGAATTCGTATTATGTTTCCTAAAAAAGAAACGTTGAGCTATCGAATAGCGGTCTTGGGCGAAGCGGAAGAAAATACAAACATAAATATCACAAATGAATATGCTTTAACTGTAGAAATACACGAATCAAACAAAATTCTTTTAATTCATTTCAAATGGAATTTACTTTAATAGAATTTCGATGTGAATGAAATATTTATGTTGCAAGCTGAAATTGCCTGAACGTGTGCTGCAGCTCTTTACAACCTCAGAAGCAACGATCGAAGTTAAATTAAAGGATTCAAGCGACGGATATTATCGACGCGCAGTATGGCTAGGGTCGAGTGTACGCATGCATTATGCTTCATGTCTGCTGCATATTGTAACTTCTTGCAGCTCACGCTCTCCATTCATAATAATCAGAATTTCATCAGAGATCGCAACTGCTTAATCACACTCAATGAATGTTTATCTTACTATCGGTAATTATGAAGATACAAATGCCGACGAATTTTTTATGTTTAATGAATTTTACGCATAGACACGCGCTGTTCGTTTTTCAAATTCATTTTGCTATATTAGATAGATTTTTTTAAAGAAAAAGTTATACATACATATACAGCGAGCGTTATTCTGTATAATAATTACGTAGGTTTGAAACAAACATTCATAATTTAATTTTCATTTTGCAGCTACATCGCATTATTCTTTATTTGAAAATAATTTATAATTATTATTCCGCGTATATATAATTACAATATAAATAATAAATATCATTTTGAGATAATCACACATTATTCTTACACATAAAAATAATCATCAAGATGTCATCGTTATTATTTGCTCTCGTTAGCAAAATAAATATAAAGGAATTGTCTGATGGAAGTTTCTTGAACAAAAAAAAAAGAAAATACCTTTTAAGATTATCGTTGACGTATCAATTGCTCGCGAAGTAACCGAGCAAACATACGACAATTGTTTATCTCTTTCGCTTCGTTTTCTCTCAACAATCTTTGTGCGCCGGATCAAGGAGAACAATATTTTCGTTCGCTGCACGACACATCACGTTCGTCGAGCGTGAACACGCTCGACCAAAGCCGATATAGCGCATTTACGTTTTAAATGCCTTTTAACTTTTCTTATTCCGTATAGCACGGTGCGCCAAGGAAAGCCGATAAGTGGCATCATGTTTCGTGCCGCTGTCGTCGTTGCCGTCATATAACGTTACGTTGCAGCCGAGCTTGCGGCACACGCCAGGAATCCACAGGATACACCGTCTATATAACGAGCAAGAGGGAGCGCAAAGAAGGCAAGAAAAAAGGGCCTTCGGCCATTTCTGGCATCGTTCACTCTTGATACGAGAAAAGAAACTTGTCCGTAGGAAGAACTCATGGGATTTGAATGCACGGAGTGTTGAGCTCTCCGTTGAAAAATGCTTGCATCACGTCGATACTTAAACAACCTCCTCTGGCAGGAGGAATGGAGGATTATTCCGTAGCGATAATCCTCCATTCTTCAATCTGGTGGCTAAACATCGTGTGTAGCAGCTCTCCATTTTCCGTCATTAAATAATCTCGGCGATCAAGTATCAAGTTGCTGACGCAGCAGCTTTGCTTCTTCAAGTTCTTTGTTTATATAACGATCCGCGATTTAAATCTACTCAAACTTGTGCATTCAGTTATCTTTCTTAAAAAAAAAAAAAAAAAAAAAAAATAGAGAAAAATAATAGTTAGATTATTTCAAGAAACAATTTATTATATTGAATGTTGACGTTTTATGACTGTTTCGATCAATGTAATAATAAGTAATAACTTTAATCTTATTTTTTATCTTATTTTTATCTTATTTTTATCATATTTTTTATCTAACTTATTATTTCCTAGAATTAAAAGGTTCTAAGAATTAAAAGTAGATTAAAGAGTAAATTAAATCGAGATTAAAACTAATCTACATTGACATATCAAAAAGAAAATTAGTCGTTTAATTAAATTAATTTAGTTTGACTTTATTTTTTTTTTTATGAAGAATGTATGAATATTTATATTATATTTGACTTAAATACATACAATTAATTTGATTAAAAATTTTTTTCAGGGCAGAAATGGAGCACGGGACACCCTGTATATCAACGTGAAATTCGATGTGAACGGGAGGGAGGGGAAGGGGGAGGGGGCGGCGACAAGCCCGCACGGGTCGACGAGAATCGGGGCGCGGGGTCTAGCCCACATATCATTTTCACGTCGACGTACGTAGCTGTCATTGACATTGTGCGTACCCGTGTTCCATCTCTTTCGGTTCCTCTCTCTATGTATCGCTCTATCTCACTCCCTCCCCCTCTTTCTCTGACATTTCTTTTCCCTAGCAGACGCGTCGACAGAAATCGACGAGCATCCTGCAGGAGGAGGCACCACGAGGATCGACCGCGGTGGCGAGGAAGATGTCATCGCGTCGACGATAACATACGAGGACGATGACAAGAGCGACGCGGAAAGATTTCGACCGCGAGGGACTGGCTGACTGATCAGCTGATTCCTTTGTTTAGGTCGCTGACACACGCTGAAATAGCGCCCTGCCATTTTCAATCGATCGACCGTGCCTGCCCCGGGAGCAGCCCAATCGCGGGGCGACACAGCAGAGGCACGAGGCTGGAGACGGGCGTCCGGATGGTCCGCGGCACGGCGTGGAAGTCCACACCGAGGACGCGCACACGCGTGTCCGCGCGACGAAGGAAGCGCATCGTCTCGCGCGCGCGGAGGTCGCGCGCTGACGGGCTACCCACGTACCTTTGTAGTGAACGCGAAGATTGTTTTGCGACAGGCCTATGTAGCTGTACTTGTCCTTGGTGCTCCAGGAACGTGGCAACGGCGTCTTCTCCTCGTCCACCATAGGATAGAGCAGTTTTAGCCGGTCTATGGGTTGGCTTTGCCCCGAATTCGTTTTCCCAGGCTCCATAACACTCCGTTCATCGCTGGTGGCCGCCATCATTGTCGTCCGCTGCCCCACTCGCCCCGCTCTGGCCTCCGCAATCCACACGATTCCTGGACGCGACTGCCGTTGCGCACGTCCGCACGCGCAACTCTCACACAGCTCACACAGCTCTCGCTCTCGCTCTCGCAATCGCGGATGGCACCAGCAAGAAACCAAAGAAACGAGCGACGGATAGACGAGACTAGCGTGCCACCTGCTCGCGCCGCGTGCTCCGCCCCCTTTTGGCCGCCTTGCGCATCCAAATCCATGCTAACTCACGCCAGTCACGCCACTATGGAAAAATAAGAGCATCTTTGCCGAACCCGCTGTAACGATTGGAGACAAGTCAAGACGAGTTGACAGATTCGACTTCGGTTCCCCACGATTTTTCGCCTTGCAAGGACTTTTCTGCGAGAGCAGTGCATTCACCGATCTTTCTAGGCGAATAATTAATAATGTTCGAGAGAAAATTAAAGGCACTTGGTTACTTGGAATGGGACAAAGTCAACGGAAATAGTGAGCAACTATTTGACACATGTCATAACCTATATAAATTCATTAAAAATCAGGAAATATATACTAATATAAATACAGTTGTCTTAAGTCACTTTGCGCGATGTAATTGGACGGTGCAGACATTTACCTATATAGACGATATTCATAGTCCATTTTTATTACAAGATCATCTTAAATAATTTCTTAAGATACTAATATAGTTCTATAACCAGTAATATATCATAAAACAGTATTTATTACCGATTTTTTAGGATCGTTTTAAGTGCAATTTTAAGATGTAAGCCAATCACAAAAGTTGTATTTAGCATTTTAAAACATTACTTAGAATAAGAACGACCTGTGAATATTGGCCTGTGATTGATTTGACTTCTTAACTGTAGGTGAACTATTTTTCTTTTAGAAGATACAATCAACACGAACGTTGTTTTATTTTCCTTAACAATTATTTTCCTTCAATGAATAACAAAGATAAAACGTTTATGTCGACCGTGTCCTTAAACTTCTTAAGTACTATAATATTGATACAATATTATAATGTTCCAGATACTCAGCACTTCAGAAAGGTGATTGTATGGTTGGAAGATCAAAAGATACGTCATTATACTATAGAGGACCGTCAAAAGTTGAGAGACATTACATCCTCGGAATGGCCAAAAACTTTCGAAAAATATTGCAATGACGTTGACTGCCCAATAACTAAGAACGAGATTGATCAATTAGAATGGTTTATAGGATATGCTATTTGGCTAGAGTTTGGAGATGACTGTAAGATTTATTTGAAATAATTAAAGCTTTTTTAATGGTTTTCTATAATAAGCCATTACCTAAGTTTTAAGTCTTAAGCCATAAGAAATAGACTAATCACAGTTGATTATTCTTCTCACATTCGACTGTGACTGCTAATTTCTTATGACTGAAGACTTGAAGCTTAAATAATGGCTCTAATTATAGAATGTGTGTAAAATGTTTACAAAAGAATTTCGTGCAATATCAAGTTCTGATTTTAATCAAGCTTGCTATATTTATATAAGATAAATTCAGAAAATATTAGTTGCAATAAATAAACGATTTCAAGGAAGGAAATTACTCCTCCAAAAAATGTTTTATACAAAAGTTTTATAATAAAATAATATTCATGTCAATATTTTTTAAAAATAATTATATATATATTTTTTCCAAAATTATTTTTCAAAATATTAATATAAATAGAGATAATTTCATTATAAAACATTTTTCGACATGTTGAATAGTTATTGATATAAAAAAAGGACTACTTTATATATGATATAATGTTACTTCTTAAAACCGTTTATTGGACGCAAATGATATTTTCTAAATTCGTATATTTATGTAACTCATGTATATAGTTCCATTAAAATCTGAATTTGAAACTTCATGAGATTGCTTTGTTAGAATCATTTGTGTAAAATTTCATAAGAATTTGAATAATTATTGGTTGTCTAATCAATAAATAATAAATATAATGAAATATATAATTTATTTAGGCCAAAAATATCAGCAAGTCATAGGAAGAAAAGCAAAAGATGTGAAAAAAGAGATGAAAGTACCTAGTATCAAGTCCACGAATCCTCTAGATAATTTAGATTGTAAGTATATCTTGCGCTGCATTGTACAATACTTAACATAGGGATGTATTATTTAAATCTCGCATTTCTTTATTTTTTTCAGTTGACAGTGATGCTTTCAAGAACGGAATTAATTCGATTGCCAAGTTACTGAATGTACCGAAACATTCTGATCATCTTATAACACTACAAGCATGCAGCAAACTCGTGTGCAACAAGTTGAACACGGATGCGATTAAACAATCTAATAGTGCCGCGTATGTCAAAAATAAATCTCTGACAAAAACAATAGTAGGACCTAGCTTTAATATGGGCGACGGGATGTTAGACAATGCCGCCAAAGGTCTTGCCTTATTATACATTCAAGACCTCAGGAATCTTCAGACAAAGATTAATGAGACGATAGTCGCTGTGCAAAATATAACGGCTAATCCAAAAACGGATACCAAATTAGGAAAAGTTGGTAGATAAATGGTCATATTCCAGAAAAATAAAAATGGATTCATAAATAGCTTGTTTAGAGTTTTTTAATACAAAGAATATATAAACTACATTAGATTAGCAAAATATTAATATTTAATGCGTACACATCTCAAAGCAATTTCAAAAAGCATTTGTACTAGAAAATGAATATCTTTGATTTTCTAATGTAAATGTTAATTTATTTTTACTTTATGCTAATCTATAAATATATCGTTTTTGCAAAGAAATGCAAATGTGTTACATTTGATTTTCTCTCGTATATATGTTATGCATGGATTACTAGTGTAACGAAAAACAGTCAGTATGTTAAAATCATGC